TAACTCACTATCATTAGATTGTCTGTGGAAGGTTATCAATGATCCCCATGGTAGTGATCACTTGCCAATTATTATTTCAATCAAAAGTGGTCGTCTAAAAACAGATCAGTCAATTCAAGTTCCTTTTGACCTCACGAGGAACATTGATTGGCAAAAATTTGTATCGGCGGTAACTCTTGGTATTGATTCTACCGATCCTCTACCACCACTGGAAGAGTATCGTTTCTTTACCGAGCTAATCTACAAAAGCGCATTAGAAGCTCAGAAACGACGTGTTCCATGTGCATCCCTTAAAAGAAGACCCGCCACCCCAGGATGGGATGACGAATGCACAAAGTTGTATCTTGAGAAATCCGATGCCTTTAAAGATTATCGTAGACATGAAAGATCTGAGCTTTTTGAAAAGTATCTAAAGCTTGAAAAAAAGCTTAAAAACTTACTAAAAGCAAAGAAACGAAATTACTGGCGTACTTTTATCGAGGGACTTTCTAGAGAAACCTCGATGACAACGCTTTGGAAAAAGGCTCGCTATATGCGAAACCGCTCATCTTCCAATGAGAGTGAAGAATACTCCTCACAATGGATATTCGACTTCGCTAAAAAGGTTTGTCCAGATTCTGTTCCAGCACAACCAACTTTACGGGATACAGCCCGAAGTAACGGTTCTCTGGATGAACCATTCACAATGCTGGAATTTTCAATGGCACTTCTTTCATCGAATAACTCTGCTCCGGGTAGCGATATGATCAAATTCGACCTTCTAAAAAACCTCCCTGATATCGCTAAAAGACGATTACTTAACCTGTATAATTCATTTATGGAATTCAATATAGTTCCACCAGCATGGAGACAGGTTAAAGTAATAGCTATTCAAAAGCCTGGGAAACCAGCGTCTGATCACAATTCTTACCGTCCGATCTCTATGTTATCATGCCTGAGGAAATTATTAGAAAAAATGATCCTATTAAGACTTGACCATTGGGTTGAATCAAACAATCTACTTTCAAATACGCAATTTGGTTTCCGGAAGAGTAAAGGAACAAACGATTGTCTAGCGATGCTTTCATCTGATATTCAACTGGCCTTTGCGCACAAGGAGCAATTGGCTTCAGTCTTTTTGGATATTAAGGGCGCATTTGATTCGGTTTCCATAGACATACTGTCAGACAATTTGCACAGTAATGGATTACCCGGTATTTTGAATAATTTCTTGTATAATTTGCTGTCAGAAAAACAAATGACCTTCAAACTAGGTCAACTGACAACTTCTAGAATTAGCTACATGGGCTTACCCCAAGGTTCATGTTTAAGTCCCTTACTTTATAATTTCTATGTCAAAGATATTGATAACTGCTTAGATAATCTATGCACGCTTAGACAGCTTGCAGACGATGCCGTGGTTTCCATGAGAGGTCCACGTGCGGAAATCTTGCAAAGACCATTGCAAAATTCCCTAAATAATCTGTCTTTCTGGGCAAGAAATTTAGGGATCGAGTTTTCACCGCAAAAAACTGAATTGGTAGTGTTTACAAGGAAGCGGTTTCCAGCCCAACTGCGTCTAAATCTTTTGGGCAGAGACATTACCCAATCTTTAACCTTCAAATACCTTGGAGTCTGGTTTGATTCAAAATGCACTTGGGGTACCCATATTACGTATTTGAAACAAAAGTGTCAACAAAGGATCAACTTTCTACGATCAATTTCTGGGACATGGTGGGGTGCTCACCCGGAAGACCTCATTAAACTATATAAAACGACTATTCTTTCAGTTCTTGAGTATGGCTCTTTTTGCTTCCTCTCGGCAAGAAAAACCCACCTAATTAAATTGGAACGCATTCAATATCGTTGTTTACGTATTGCCCTTGGCTGTATGCATTCAACACACAATATGAGCCTAGAGGTCCTAGCGGGCGTAAAACCCCTGCAGAACCGTTTCTGGGAGCTCTCATTAAGATTATTGATCAAATGTAGTGTCAGTAACAACCTTGTGATTGAAAACTTCGAAGAAATGCTCGAATTGAGCATCCAGTCTAGATTCGTGCGAATCTATCTTAATTATATGTCATCGGATATTAGCCTTCCTTGCTATAACCCCTCTCGTGTATGCTTTACTAACTACAGTTCCCCCATTGACTATGATCTCTACATGAAACAGGCTATTCAAGGAGTTCCAGATCAACTTCGACCTATCTTAATTCCCCGCATTTTCGCTGAAAAGTACCAACAAGTCAATTGCAATAGAAGATTTTTCACTGATGGATCACGCATTGATGGATCCACTGGCTTCGGCGTCTTCAATGAATACTCAACCGCCTTTCGGAAACTTCAGGAACCTAGCAGCAATCAACTTCGCATTGGGGATGATTTCCGATATGCCCATAGACCATTATTTCATCTTCTCGGATAGTCTCAGTTCGATTGAGGCTATTCGGTCGATGAAACAAGGTAGGCACTCATCTTATTTCCTTTCAAAGGTAAGGGAGCAGATGAGTTTGCTGGTCGAAAGATCATATATGATTACCTTTGTATGGGTCCCCTCACATTGCTCAATCCCAGGCAATGAGAAGGCAGACTCTCTCGCAAAGGTGGGCGCACAACAAGGCGAGATTTATGATAGAAGACTTTCACATGATGAATTTTTCCCATTAGTACGTCAGAGTTCTCTTTTAAGTTGGCAAAACGATTGGACAAGTAATTCTCTTGGGCGGTGGTTACATTCCATTATTCCAAATGTTTCTTCGAGAGCGTGGTTCAAAGGTCTGGATGTAAGTCGGGGATTCATTCGAGTGATGTCAAGACTTATGTCCAACCACTACTCGCTAGACGCACATCTCTATAGAATAAACCTCGTTGACAGCAATATATGTAGGTGCAGAACCGGTTATGATGACATCGATCACGCAGTTTGGTATTGCCCGGGTAATGACGCCTCCAGAGCACGACTATTGGATACCCTAGTGGCCCGAGGTAGACAACCCTTCCGTGAAGTAAGAGATGTATTGGGAACACGTGATCTTCCCTACATGCAAGCGATCTACGAATTCCTTTGTTTGTCTGATGTTAGAGTTTGATGTGACCATCCCATCCTTTCCAAACAATTTCCCGCCATTGTGTCCCAGTCTTATTATCCTCCTGTTCCTGTGCTACTTGCCCCTGCCCAGCCAGGATTTGGTCAACCGTCCGAGAGTAGTATCTGAAGGAGGCTTCAGAAACCAGTTTCCTACCTAGCTCCTTCCCATCGAAATTGTTACCCATTAACCTCGAGCCCGCCACGAGTAATTGGTACCCAATACTAACCTAGAACTACTGCTATTTAAAATGTAAAATCAAACATTACTGATTTTGGCTCCGCAAAGTGTCACACACGACTGAGCCTAGTAAATAAACGAACTAGTAAAAAAAAAAAAAAAAAGTGTTCTCAAACCGAAACATAAGCAAATCGACGGAGAGAACGTTTCATTGAATCGATTTCCTTGTTTCTTTCAACTGATTTTTATGTCAAAAAAGCCGCTTACATGTGTCGGTCTCAGGAAACCTAAATTTACATGACATTTTCGTAGTGTGTGTGTCTAAAGCCGGATATTATAAGGTATGTTTATCTTTTGTTGTAGATCGAATAGGTGGCCTACGCTTTGCGAGGAAAGGGCTTGCAATGTTTTGTTTACAGCAGCTGATAGAGCCTTTTCAAATGTTGGTCGAAAGATCTGGCCATGTTCCGGGTAGCACCGGGGAAGCTGTCAAAACCTGACGTGAACTAAAATCACATCAACTTTCATAAGAATTCAAGGACATTTTAAATTTAAAATGTATCATTTGGTCATATCTCGAGCAAATTGTCAAATCTACGTAAGTTATTTTGGAAACAATATAATCGCTCAATTTTTTTCCTTAATTTGTTTTTTGTCGATCTTGTTTTCCGTACTGAGTGCCAATGCTACCAACTCCAGGCCAGGGAGGCAGCTCCCATAACTGGACCCTACCTATCGACCCATCAACTCATTGAACGGGGACCAACGGCTTTACTTCCCTTCCAAAAGAAGGCGTGATCGGAGATTTTATGCCTCAGAAAATCCCGACAGCGCCGACTGGGATTGAACCCAGGTCGTTTTGGTTTCACTCAACTATCGAATGTTGAGAAGTTCTGATTAAGACGTAGGTTATATGTTATTTATAAAACGTATATGAATTGACGAATGTTTGAATTTATACAGCTTTTTAGCACATTAGAATCGGATAAACTTTCTCAGCTTTTTTTTTTCGATTGACCATAGTTAGGACTTCGCAATTTTGAGGCGCTAAAGGTTTTTGCCACGCTACCGGCTTTGCTGCCCCACGGTTTAACTGTAGATCTACGGATTTTTAGATTTACGCCGGATCTACGGACTTAGAGATTTTTTGAAAAGTGCCGAAGAAATTCTACGGATTTTAAAAAATTTACTAGTATCTACGGATCGTACTTCATGAAAAGTTAACAACACTGACTGGTTGCCAAAACAAATGGAGCAAAGTCACGGTACCATGCCAGCACGTGTTACAGCTAAATGAGCTAAAATATGCAGTGATTTCAATGAAATTAACAAATCAAAATGACTTATTTCCTAGTTCTACCACCAAACGTGCCAAATTCATTACTCCGAACATTCATCATCACAGTCAGAAATGAGTTTTCCATTTTCCCACCTGGAAGCTTCGATCGAAATAACGGATCACCTGTCATAAATCAAGCTTGATTCGATTTCCTAAAAACAAGAACTGCTTCACTGGTTTTGGGCGGCAGTACGGAGCCTTACCATCCCCCTTTCTTCCCACCATGCATTCGAACGATGCAAAACAGAATCAAAACCCACAAAAACCTACCGCTGCTGTGTTGAGTAGGAGAAAATTTTCCAATTTCCACCAACAGTCAATAATGTTTATCATTCCATCGTTTGTTTTAAATTTATGTGGCATCGTGCCCAAAGACCATCAACTCGTGGGGTGAGATTCGAGGAGTTCGTTACCTGCATGATATCGTCGTCTTCGGCCTTGCAGGGCAGTTCGATGGTCGTTCCCTCGATGGCATCCAGATCGTACGGCTCGAACAGGAATCTCGGCGGGCCAACGTCATTTATCACGGCCACTTCGGCGGCCGACTCGATGCTTCCCAGCTCGTTTTCCGCCACGCAAATGTAGCTTCCTGTGTGTGTGTGAGAGAGAGAGAGAATGGCAAGGGAAAGGTATTATTAGCTATAGAGGAACGAAAAGATGAGAAATTATGACGACTGCTGCACGGTTGTAAGTGTATGATGACGTCTGCTAAGGGACTGTTCATAAACTACGTAGATCGGGTTTGAGAAGTTTTAGACGCTCCTCCCTCCCCCGCGTTGACAATCGTTTGACATTTTTTTTTAAATTTGAATGGACCGTAGACACTTGCGCTGCCCCTCCTAAAGTGTAAACGTAGTTTATTAACAGTCCCCAAGCATCGATGCTTGCTCTTTAGGGAACTTTTTCTTTCTGTGTTGGTTTCAGGTCTGACATTGTTTTACGAAAATGGTATAAATCAACAGTCAGTTCAATTAATGAAAATATTTGTCTTGTGGGGGCCGATGGATGTAAAGAATGTGGAAAGTCGATGGTAGAGAAAGGACAACCAGGAAGGTTACAGTTCTTTCAGATAAATGGAAACCTGTCAAAACTGAATTGTTGGTTATTGGATGTGTGTATTGTTTCGGACTTTGTGTTGGCAGTTAAACAATATGCATATTTCAGGATATAGCATATGAAATTCGGTTTGTTCTCCGAAATCCGGTTAGTTGCTTTGTAGACAGTGCAGTGTATTATCAGTGCACAATGGTCCACACACTTAAACAGATACCCTGAGTTTGGTAAAAAAAAACCGTCTTAGATCGGTAATGCTAAACATTACAGATGTTTCGGTATTTTCTCGTTTTATTGCTGAACATTGTAAATGAAATGACCGGTTTTTTGTAATTTCATTTTAATTTAACGAAAACGGTAAACATTTTTACCGGCAGGTCTGTAAATCAGTAATGAAGACTTCGGTGAAATATTTTACTGAAGTTTTGGTAAACAAAGCGTTCAATTACTGAGTTCCGCTATCGGCAAACGTCAAATCCACCATATTGTGATTTTTGATCGACTTTGAAAACGTTCGTGTTTGAGAAAAATAAAAATGTGAAATTATGGAAGCTGTTAAGCAACACCAAGATGAGCGAATTGTAGATATTTTCCGTAAGTAATTAATTGTTTTTTCTGTCGGTCCAAGTTCCATTCCCGTTGGCGACGATCTGAAAACAGCATTTGGAATCTTCATTCAAAGCTTCCCTGTTTTCAGTGTAGCGCCGAAACCTGTTTTTGTTCATTGGTGGAGCAATTTGCAACACTAACACATTGATCACGACTGCAGCCAAATGTTTGCATGGGTTGCAGTGACCACCACCTTGAAACAATATTAAAGCAAATTACAGTTGAGTCAGTTACCTTTTTAAAAAATTACAGATCTCTCGGTAATATTCGATTTGCATATCGTCCTCAAAATTACAGTTCTCCGGTAAAGTTGTCTACAAATCAAGCAATGCACATCGGTAAACGTTACCGATCGTTAGGTAAATTTGACAGCTAATTCTGCTGATCCAGTTTACAGATTTTTCGGTTATGTTCTCGATCACAGAAAACATTAGCGACCGTTCAGCTGTTGAGAATTCGGTAAATGAATTACCGGAGTCGGTGATTTTTTCTGTGGAATGGTAATGTAGTCCTAGTACATTTATCTTAAGGTTTAGAGGAGTACTGTCTTATGTAAACTTTTTCAACAAGCCCAGTTGTGGCAAATGTAGCCAAGACCACATGGAGGGTGCTTGCCAACAGGAAGCAACTAATTGTGCTTACTATGGCAAAGAATCTCTTCATGCTTTGCAGGACTGCCCCGCGTACAAGATGCGTACTAACAATGTGAAGCGTTCCATAAAAGAACGCTCCAAACTGACGTTTGCAGAAATGGTTAAGTTGCAAAATGGAACCTCTGCTTCGTTGGCATCAGCCGCACAAAATGGAAATACTTATGAGATTTTGTCTTCCGATGAACTGGACTCTGATATAGCAGACGAGAGTGAGTCTCCGGAGGTACCCGCCCCCGATAAAAGGAAGCCGACTAGCTCCACGGGAGTGCGCCGGAAAAAAAGTAAAACCACTCTCAAAAGCTTGCAAAAATCTGAAGGTAGCGGGGATTCATTAAAAAAGTCGAACAAATCGGTAATTGCTGCTCCATCTGATCCTTGCTGCAGCTATTCCACCCCGCCGCTACCTAATAAAGGTAATCGTAAGAGGTTACGAAAAATAAACACCACCTCTTCTCGCAATTCAAAGAAAACTCCCCCGTCCAAGCGAGGAAAGATTAAATTTAAGGACATTGTGGATAATATTTTGAATGCCCTCGGCTTTTTCGACGAATCGCCACTTCGAGGGCTTATTGACCTGCTTGTTTCTATAGTCTCAAACTACTTCAAGCAATTGACTGTATCATGGCCCCTCATTGGTGAATTTATATCTTTCGACGCATAATTCGTCGAATGAATATCAAGATATGATCACTTTATTACAATGGAAGGAACTGTCGTAGTTTAATACCTAAATTAGACTCGTTCAAGTATTTGATTCACAATTATGATTGTGATATATTTGCACTCTTCGAAACTTGGCTTTCTTCTGAAGCCAAGGACTTCCATAAACCGCCGTCAGCTTTGGAGTTCAGTTAACATCCTTCCATCTCCAGTTCTAATACTGGGCGATATGAAATCACACGGTACTGGCTGGGGCGAATCATACAATGATATGAGAGCGGGTATTTTCTATGATTTGTGCGACGATTTCAACTTAACTATCTTGAACACTGGTGAAGCAACACGTATAGCATATTTTTGTGCTCTTGATATATTTTTGTGCTCTAACTCACTATCATTAGATTGTCTGTGGAAGGTTATCAATGATCCCCATGATAGTGATCACTTACCAATTATTATTTCAATCAAAAGTGGTCGTCTAAAAACAGATCAGTCAAATCAAGTTCCTTTTGACCTCACTAGGAACATTGATTGGCAAACATTTGTTTCGGCGGTAACTCTTGGTATTGATTCTACCGATCTTCTACCACCATTGGACGAGTATCGTTTCTTTACCGAACTAATCTACAAAAGCGCATTAGAAGCTCAGAAACGACGTGTTCCAAGTGCATCCTTCAAAAGAAAACCCGCAACCCCTGGATGGGATGACGAATGCACAAAGTTGTATCTTGAAAAATCCGATGACTTTAAAGATTATTGTAGACATGAAAGGTCTGAGCTTTTTGAAAAGTATCTAAAGCTTGAAAAAAAAAACCTAAAAATTTACTAAAAGCAAAGAAACGAAATTATTGACGTACTTTTATCGAGGGACTTTCTAGAGAAACCTCGATGACAACGCTTTGGAAAAAGGCTCGCTATATGCGAAACCGCTCATCTTCCAATGAGAGTGAAGAATACTCCTCCCACAATGGATATTCGACTTCGCTAAAAAGGTTTGTCCAGACTCTGTACCAGCACAACCAACTTTACGGGATACAGCCCGAAGCAACGGTTCGCTGGATGAACCTTTCACTTGGGAATGCTGGAATTTTCAATGGCACTTCTTTCATCGAATAACTCTGCTCCGGGAAGCGATATGATCAAATTCGACCTTCTAAAAAACCTCCCCGATATCGCTAAAAGACGATTACTTAACCTATTTAATTCATTTATGGAATTCAATTTAGTTCCACCAGCATGGAAACAGGTTAAAGTAATGGCTATTCAAAAGCCTGGGAAACCAGCGTCTGATCACAATTCTTACCGTCCGATCTCTATGTTATCATGCCTGTGGAAATTATTAGAAAAAATGATCCTATCAAGACTTGATCATTGGGTTGAATCAAACAACCTACTTTGAAATACGCAGTTTGGTTTCCAAAAGAGTAAAGGAACAAACGATTGTTAAGCGATGCTTTCATCTGATATTCAACTGGCCCTTTGCACACAAGGAGCAATTGGCTTCAGTCTTTTTGGATATTAAGGGCGCATTTGATTCAGTTTCCATAGACATACTGTCAGACAGTCTGCACAGTAGTGGATTACCCGGTATTTTAAATAATTTCTTGTATAATTTGCTGTCATAAAAAACAAATGACCTTCAATCTAGGTCAACTGACAGCTTCTAGAATTAGCTACATGGGCTTACCTCAAGGTTCATGTTTAAGTCCCTTACTTTATAATTTCTATGTCGTGATTTCAAGACTTATGTCCAGCCACTATTCGCTAGAAGCACATCTCTACAGAATAAACCTCGTTGACAGCAATATATGTAGGTGCAGAACCGGTTATGATGACATCGATCACGCAGTTTGGTATTGCCCGGGTAATGACGAGCACGACTGTTGGATACCTTTGTGGCCCGAGGTAGACAACCCTTCCGTGAAGTAAGAGATGGATTGGGAACCCGTGATCTTCCCTACAAGCATACGATTTCCTTTGTTTGTCTGATGTTAGAATCTGATGTGACTATCCCCTCCTTTCCAAACAACTTCCAGCCATTGTGTCCCAGTCTTATTATCCTCCTGTTTCTGTGCTACTTGCCGCCGAGCCAGAATTTGGTCAACCATCCGAGATTTCTGAAGGAGGTACCCAATACTAACCTAGAACAGAACTACTGCTGTTTAAAGTGTAGATTCAAGTATTACTGATTGACTGAGACACACATGACTGAGCCTAGTAAATCAACGAATTAGTTAAAAAACATTGTCCCGTTGTGTGTGGTGTGCCACATTGGATATCCACGTTCTGCAAAGTCTGTTATCGGAAAAGAGTCAAACTTTGAATTTTTAAATTTATCGTTATCTTCCATTATAAACCATTATATGCCGTCTTTAAAGTGTGATCAAACAACACGACACGACACTCAAATCACCTCTGGCTTGCGCACGATGATGCCTTGGCAAACATGACTTTTCCTCTAAATTAACAGGCCCCCCTATCTGACACCTACAACCATCCGGGCATTGCAACAGTCGTCAGAATGCACGGTACAATTTCAAAGAGCAACAGGAAAGTGCAGCAGAAAAAAAACTTGTTCAAGCGAGTCACCTACACGGAATGTACATGAAAGGGGGTCCCCCTCCCCCCAACCCCCACCCGGAAAACTCACCCGAATCGGACTCCTTGACGTGTTCGATGGTGAGCTCGATATCGTCGTCGCTGAGGTAGATCCGGTTCGTCTCGCTCAGAGGCTGCCCGTTGCGCTTCCACCAGATGTGAGGCAGTGGGTTTCCGTCCGCTTCACACTCGAGCGTTACTCGGGCGCCGGTTTTGGTCGTTACACTTTCCGGTGTCAGTGTGAAGCGTGGCTCAGCTGGAAATGGAAGAAAAAAAAATACACCGAGTCATGTATGTAGGTAGAAGAGCGGTTGGGAAAATAAAACGGATGGAAAGAAATAAATAGTAACAGCTGCAGAGTTTTTAGCATGGAAGCGAACTTGGCTGGCTGCTATGCTGAAACTATGTTGTAACAGAGCAGGAAGAAATAACATTGCCTTTCTTTTTTTTTTGATAACACCTCATGTGCACTCATGTGTGACTGGGTGGCGAGGATTACTAGCCGACAAATTACGACTCCGAAACGAGCTTCATCGCGATATGGTGCAATTTCGGTTGGACACGGATGGGATAGCTTAATATAAATTTGCTAATCTTGTAACATGGTGGAAATTACGGCAGCAGATGGTGGCCGTGGCCGTCTCTCCTCAGTGCGAAGAACACTTGGAAGTTTAAGTCTTGAACTCCATACATCAGACAGTGATACTATCTGTATAACTCTATTTCCGTTGCTGTAATCTGTATTCCGTTGTGTTTTAGTTAGATTTTGAAATTCACTTCCGTCAGGTTGTAAATTAATTCTCTGCTTTTTTGATTCGGTTTTGAATCTTATTATTTCGAGCAAGGTTGCTTTGACTCGGACGAAAAGTTGATTCTTTCGACTTAGACTTGATGAAAACCGCTTGATCCTGTGAAATTTGGTACGTTGCTTCCACTAAACGTGATTCTCATCCTAAACGAGAGCCTTTACAAAACTAGTAATTTCGTTCATGGTGGGATTCGCACCTCCATTGGGAAAACTGAATCCAATTGTGTTTTTCTCTTGCATCATCTTGGATTTTATTTTGCATTAAACGCCACAGTGGGAAATAACGTACTCGTTATCGTACCTAATTGAAAAAAAAAAATATTAAGGGTTGTGTCCAAAGCACGACCGCATTGTTGACGTAAACCAGAACTCATTCAATAATATAAATATATTATTAATAGAATGGATTAGAATACAACAAGAATAAAATGGATAAAACCCCATATATACAGCGTATAGGTCTGGGTTCATGATATTCATTATTCTTTGTTCTCTTTTCTCTATTGTGTGATATTCACCCATATTCTTGTTTTCATTCACATTATATTCAATGTAGATCATTCTCGAAGAGGAACCGCTATTGCGTTGAAAAATAATTTCTCTCAGAATACATGATACGGTCTCTATCATCAATGTTTATGCTCCCTCTGGTACTCAGAATAGAGCTTCCAGAGAAGAGTTCTTTAACTCGACAATTTCTTATTACCTCCGTCATGCAGCCGAACATGTCATCCTTGGTGGGGATTTTAACTCTGTAATACATGCAAAGGATGCTACAGGTGAGAGCAACTTCAGCCTCTCGCTAAAAAACACAGTTCAACAGGCACAACTCTTTGATGTATGGAATTGTTTACGGAAGGGTACTACTCAATACACGTACATCACCCACAATTTGGCTTCCCGCATTGATCGATTATACGTGTCATCTGGGGTGCTGAAAGACCTAAGACACATCGACACTCACGTTTGTTCGTTTACTAACCACCATGCCTTGACAATGAGGCTGTGTCTACCGAACCTCGGGAGAGATATAGGTAGAGGTTACTGGTCAATCAGACCCCATGTTTTGACTCAGGATAATATGGACGAATTTCAGCTCAAGTGGGACTACTGGACATGTCAACGAAGAAACTACAATTCATGGATGCATTGGTGGTTATCATTTGCAAAACCAAAGATCAAGTCGTTTTTCCGGTGGAAAACTAAGCAAACATATGATGTTTTCCATAATAGATATCAATTGTTATACACTCAACTTCGTGAAGTTTATAATAGCTTTTATGGAGATCATTCGATGCTTTCCACAATAAACCTACTAAAAGGTAAGATGCTACACCTCCAAAAAGAGTTTACACAAACTTTTGTACAGGTGAACGAAACGTTTGTATCGGGAGAACCCGTATCTGCTTTTCATCTAGGAGAGCGTAGACGTAAGAAAATTGTTATCAGTCGGTTGAACACATCCGATAGAGAATACATCGATAACTCCGAAGACATAGAAAATTATGTCTACGATTATTTCCGAGAGCTGTACACCGAAGGTGAAGTACGTGTAAACACAGAATTTATTTGTGACAGGATCATCTCCGAGGATAGTGATGCTAACACCAGGTGCATGGAGGACATCACAACGGAAGAAATATACTTCGCGATAAAAGGTAGTGCTTCCAGAAAATGCCCAGGACCAGATGGGATTCCGAAGGAATTTTATGAACGCGCATTTGACATTATTCATGGCCATCTCAATCTCATTCTCAATGAGGCTTTACGAGGTGAATTTACATCCGAATTTGTTAATGGAGTCATTGTGTTAGCAAAAAAGAAAGGTTCAAACAACACCTTGAAATCGTACCGTCCGATTTCTCTCCTTAACGTAGACTTTAAACTACTCTCTCGAGTGCTAAAAACCAGATTAGATCGTGTTTTAACTGAAAACTCAGTAATTAGTAACTCACAAAAGAATTCCAATCATGATCGGAACATTTTTCAAGCTACACTCACTTTGAAAGACCGTATTGTGCAGTTACGAGAGAAGAAGAAATGTGGAAAATTAGTGTCGTTCGATCTCGATCATGCTTTTGATCGTGTTGATCGCCGATTCTTATTCGAAACGATGTCCTCTCTTGGCATAAACGGAAACTTAATAGAACTGCTTTCTAAAATAGGCTCTCTTTCCAATTCTCGGATGCTCATCAACGGTCACCTCTCTCGAGAGTTTCCAATACAAAGATCGGTTCGCCAGGGCGATCCACTATCGATGCATTTATTTGTGTTATACCTACAACCATTAATGACGAAACTTGAACAAACCCTTAACGATATCGATGATGTTGTTGTAGCATATGCAGATGACGTTACGGTGATAATTGAGAGGGCTCGAGAGATATTCGAAATGTTCGGCAGATCCTCAGGCTCTGTAGTCAACCTCACAAAAACAGTTGCTTTAGACGTTGGGTATATACGAAACAATAACCAGTTGATCGTACCATGGTTAACAACAGCCGATAAAGTGAAGGTGCTCGGTTTGTATACACAAACTGCGTTAGGCTGATGATCAATGTAAACTGGGATTCATTGATAACGAAATTTGAACCGCATTTGTGGATGCACAAAATGCGATCTCTCTCCCTCCATCAAAAAGTCGTCCTACTAAATAACTTCGTGATTTCAAAAATTTGGTACACTGCTTCAGTTTTACACATAAACAAATCGCATATTGCAAAGTTAACGTCTTTAATGGGAACCTTCTTATGGTCAGAGCAAACAACTAGGGTTGCTATTAATCAATTGGCCCTAGATGTTGAAAATGGAGGATTAAAGCTACAGCTTCCGAGCTTTAAATGTAAGTCGCTGCTTATCAACAGACATTTGAAAGAGTCTGATTCAATGCCCTACTATGCATCAATGATATCTAGATCAGGAAATCCACCATACCTAGGAAATATTCCTACAAACTGCCCATGCTTACGAACAGTTTGCCAGGAATTAGCTTACCTCCCAGAACAAATCAAAGAAAATCCGGTTTCGAAACAAATCCTTACATTTTTCTTGGAGAAGGTTGAACCCTCCAAAATAATGCGAACGTTTCCAGAGATAAATTGGAAGCGTGTTTGGCGTAACATTGCATCTCGGAACCTAACTTCTGACGAAAGAAGCCTGTACTATGTTCTAGTGAACAACAAAGTTCTTCACCGTAAACTACATTTTACAATGCAGCTGACTGATTCAGCAACTTGCTTGGTATGCAATGTAACTGACGAGGATTTAGAACATCGTTTTGCAACATGTCAGAGAGTAAAAGATGCCTGGGAAGCATTGACGCAGATTATAGAGACCGTAGTAATGAAGAGACTAACTTTTTCTGAATTATTATTTACAAACATTAATACTTCAAGAGAAAAAAGATGCATGGTCATGAAACTATTTATAAACTATGTCAAGTTTATTAATGTAGTTAATAACACTGTTGATGCAAATGCTGTTAAATTTCATCTAGAAAGTTTATAAACTGAAAATGTAACATAATACTGTAGACTAATGAATGATTTTACAAAAAAAAAAAAAAAAAAAATTCGAACCAACAAAAATATCATGCATTATCATTACAGCGTGTTCGTAGAATCATGCAAAATAGAATACTGCAAAATAGAAGTTTGTAGTTTCACCGAAAATCGACCAATATCACCGATTTATGCCGACACCGTTCTTAGCTTAAAGCTCATCCCAAACCTGCCCGATATCTTCCGGTTGAATCTCCACAAATAAGAGATAAATATGGAAAACCGCCCGTTGGATCGGATGATATCGGGAAGGGGCGGATAGCTTAATACAAAAACAGCTCGTTGAAGAAGGTGATCACGACAGCAGCGCTGTTTTATAACTTTTCAGGTTCCAGCACAACGATGTGCAACCAAGTGGTACTCGATTATGATGTTAAAGTCCTTTGTGTTGACTGCCATTCTTATGTCATGGACTAAAACAAACAATATTGAGAAATTATACTATATCGATATTTAATCGATGGTATAATAAGACGTCTTCAGGCTCCACAAACTGGCCATGACCCAGAGATTTTTTTTTTACATCGTAGAAATTGAGGAAACTTAGTAGATATTCTGGGAACTTCATAGATCTTCAGAAAAAATCGTAGAAACAAGGAACTTGTTGAATGCGTAGAAGTATCAAATTAAGTTTGAGGAGCTTTGTAGAAGTTAAGGGAATATTATTTGATTTCAGGGAAGCTCATTATTGATCGGGAACCTCTATATAATTTCAGGGCACTTTTTTGAAACCTCGTGGACTTGGAATAGTTGTGGAATTTACGTACAAATTCAACAAATTTCGTTCGTGGAACTTCGCGGAAAATCAACGAGAAAAGTAGAAGTGCAGCAAACTTTGTAGAAGTTTTGCGAATTTCGTAGCATTTTGAGGAGCTGCGAAAAACTTCA